TTCCAGGTGCTTCTGAATTCAGAACTGCCATCATGCTTCAAGATGCAGCATGTTCTAGCTCTTAGCACAGGGACATGTAATGCTGTAAGTCTGCCTACCATCTATGAACAGCCTGTGGCTTGGGTACCAAAGATGTCAATTTGAGGGTTCTAACAGTATGAAGCCTGTGTGGGGTGGTACTTAGCAGTGTTCTCGGAGAAACTGTATGTGTCAGTCACTGCTTTTCCAAGAAAACTGTCAACCTTTGATCGTCAAAGCAGAATTGTTTTGTGAGCCTAGTTTGGTTACTGACAGGTGTATGCCCTGTATATAAAAGCTAATCTATAAATAGATGTCAAAAATCTGTGAGGAGAACCTCAAACTAAATTGTTGAGGTAGCTTGCAAATGAGAGTCGTACAATTAAGTTTTTCACCAAGCTTTTAGCTATTCTGGGTCATGTGAATAAGACTTCACTCCAGTTTTCCTTTGCATTTGTTAACTTGCTTCCTTTGCATGAAAAGGAGCTGTAGATGTGAAAACTATATTTAAGTAACACAGCTCTTTCCAGTGGATGTTTGGACTCCTGCCAAGGAGAAATGGCAGGGTTTTCTCTACTCCAAGAGGAATAGGAAATGGGGAAAAGAATGGATTGCATGAGCCAAGCAATGTATGTATGGGAAGCAAGTGGCTGAGTTCTGAGATGAGTTGACATGGATATCCCCTTAAAGCAGAGGAGCTGCTTTTTGTGAGGCAGAGGTGGTGACTTTACTTTTTTTAGCACTATCATTTTATCCATATAAAGCTTATGAAATCTACAGAAACATAGAAAGGTTCATACTCAGTAGCATTTCCAAAAGTAACTACTTCAGGAATTAATACTTTGTTTTGTGCAATGCACTGTAATACATTTAACTTTTGTATTGTGGCTTGATGCTTTTTAAGGTGCACATGGTAATTCTTTCACTGTCTTTTAGACATTGTGCTCTGTGTTATGTGCTTCAGAGAGACATTACCAACCACAAGTGACTTCTTGCATGCCTGACTAAATGGAAGCATCCTGCACATGGGATCTCTTTTAGCTTCAGATTTTCTAGAGCTGAGGCCCTCATCTCCTTCTGTGGCTGTAGGAACATGTAAGCCCTAATACAGAGTTGACCGTTCAGTGTCTGTAACCTGAAATCATAAGGTCTGTGAGCAGTCTGTAAGTTAAATTCATGTCTTCATAGTGCAAATATCCTGAAACTGCAAAAATAACAGTCTGAGGAGGCTTTATGCATAGTGGGCATAGCAGCATAGTTTTTCAGACCATCAGGTCTGTCAGGGCCTAGGCCTTCTAGCGTGCTATGTGTTTTCTTGACTTAAAAGTGACATCCAACCTAGCAGTACTTGGTTATAACAATGGAAGAAAAAAAGTGGTAAGTTTTGATTGGCTCAAGCAGAGGTATGAGAAGGGAAGAGGAGAAACATCTGCAGCTGTTACAGCATGTTTGAATTGAAGTAAAACCAGAAAAGAGCAAGGAACACGCAGCTTTCTTCTTTAATTAAAAGGAAGGGGCGGGGGGGGAGAAACCAAGTTTTAAGGGGCAAGTGTGCTTTTTAAGATATATTAATATTATGAGAGAACGCTGAAAGGAATGAAAACGGCCATTTCAGGTTACTTCTAGAAATTATTGTGCTCTTTTTTTCCCCTTTAAGTAAGACTTGGCCAAACTCCTAAGAAAGTCAAAAGCTGTTGTTTATGGCTCTCTGTTGGGAGTGAGGTTAATTAGTATATGCTGTACAGAAATATTTTGCTGACCAAAATGCCTGGAGTTAGAAGAAGTTATTGTTTCAGTGTTAGTTAGCTGATTGATGTGGGTGCTGCCTTACTAACATTGGCAAGTCAAGTTTATAAGTCTAACGCAAGCTCCTGTGCCCTTTTACCTACTTTTCTAGCAAGCACGTGACAGCAGAGGAATGCAAAGGAGGGGAAGTGTACAGCAGCTTATGATTAAATTGGCCTTTAAGGAGGAAAATCAGTGTTCAAAGAAAGGGACTTCAGGAAGTCTTTGGTGTTCAGCCATCATAATTCAGAATAGTCTTAAAGGCTTACAGTTTTCTTAAGTAAAGGAAAAGGATATGAAAAGAAACAAGCTATTTGATTGTTTCACATCTTAGGGTCAAGTAATACAGTCCTAGAACTAGACTTGTCTTTGTTTTCAGGGCTTGTTTACTTGGTCCAGTATTAATTCTTGCTGGATTAATATTTCTTCATTTTGGAATAAGGAATGTTTTCCTTATTGAAGCTTATTTAATTTTATGATCGTGCTAAGTTTTAATTCATTAAAATATTGGGTTGACTGTTTATGATTAATACTATTTATAATCTTTTTCTGCCTTGGACAGTAGAAATATATGTGCCTAAAAAGGGATCGGTTCCTGAAATTCTTTCTCTTCAGAAACAGAGAGGAGGATAGTTACAAATTCCCAGGCTAAGTCACAGGGGAGTTGAAGGGTAATAGAAACTAGTTGATCTGGTACTTAAGACATTGGTATTCCAGAATACAAAATTGCATGAGTGAACTGGAGAACCTCTTGGCCCTTCTTGAAACAAATCCAGGTACCTGGTTCTCCATATGGGGATATAGTTGTGGTGGTGGTGTTTTTGGTTTTTTTTAATCCCACTCCTAACAGTACTGCTAAACATATGATGAATTCTTAACTTTGAGTGCTTTCCCCTTTTGCAAACCCTGTTGAGTCCAGGATATACCATGTATTACTGCTGCCTGTCTCTGTTTTATTGCTTTCTTGCAGTTTTGGTCTCGACGTTGACCTGGTGATGCACAATTTAAAGGGACAGTTGACTTTGACTTCCTGATACTTGTCTACAGCAAGGCCTCTATGAATAAGCAGTTGTTAGTGACGGAGTCATTAAGTACTACAAATTGCAGTTGTTACTAGGGCATACAGGGCTTGTCTTAAAGGTTTTGAAACTGGAGTTCAAAGCTGATTTGGTTTCTTTGTCCTAATCAGACACTGTACATGCATAGATCAAATTGCATACTATCTGTATGACAATGTGAGCTTCAGCTACCCTTGTGGAAACCCAGAAGCCTGATTCACCCAGGACTCAGCCTCTGAAACTTAAGCAGTGGCTGATGGATTTGGGAGATCTGTGAATTACCGTCAGCCACTGTAGGAGTAGTTGTATTGCAGAGGTAGATCATTGCAGGCTGGTCTAGGGATAGGCACTTTAAATATTGCAAACAGTCACTACTACTAAGGTTAGCAACCTTACTAGATGGTGCGCAACAGCACTTATCTTGTTCATCTCTGCTTAATGCTCCTTCTTTTCCTATATTGTGTATTTATTTCCTAAGCCTACTATTACTGCAGCATTCCCAGTGCTTACATTCCCTAGTTGTCTAGTCATACACCTTTGCACCCCTTCTTTGTGCTCCAGATGACTTCGACATAGTAGAATATTTACAGAGTAGAGGAGCAGCACCACAGTCATAATAAACTGCTTTTGAAGTGCCCGGCTAAACTGCACTGGTTAGTCCTCACATGCTGTTACGCTGTTCAACAGGGGATGAATGTCTACCAGAATTTAAGTTTAATTACAAAGTCTAAGCTTCAGGTTTGCAAAGGAAATATAAATTTCAGCCTTTAGGATTCAAAAGGCATGAAGTAGTTGTACTTTCTTTTGATTTTGCTTAAATAGAAATGTCAGTGCCACCTTAAAACACTTGGTATTGATAATGTCATGTTTTGTACCAGTAAAAATGTGAAATTAAAACTTGCCCTTGAATCCTGACCTACGGATGGGATTAAGGATTCCTCTACCTTTTTGCCATACTTCTAAGAGGATGTTGTTTTTAGGATTATGCACAGAAGTTTTGGTAAGCTAATAAATGAATGCGGACAAAAGACTTTGGAATCACAATGGTCTCCTCAGGAACATGTATTTTGGACCATTTCAATGTTATACATAGAGCCTGTCTGCAAAAATCTGTGTTCTGATTGTAAGTGCTTAAACAACATTACTCTGAATTAATGTTGAGTAGGGATAACTTCCAGGATATTTATGTAGAAAAGCTGGTTACGGAAAGAAAGGAGCTATGAAGATGAGCTGGTAAATAAGAGCATACAGTTCAATTCAAATTGGCTTTATCCTCAGACAGAGTTGAGGCATAAATATGTAAACAGAATCACAGTTACATTTCTCTTTTAACTTTAAACTAAAACCACTTTTAAACAAGTGGTTTTTATTTGAGCCTGTTATGCCTGCCCATTATGATGGTCTTTTGTCTGTATTGGGACCGTTGTTGATATTTGTTTGGGTAGTTAAACTGAGCTGTGTTCAATTAAATTTCCTCTTAATTTCAGATTTGTTTATGTGAAGGTCATTTTTCTGACAGTTGTGATTTGGTTTCCTCAACTCTGCATAGTTTTGATTTTGCACTTATTTGCCAGTCAGAACTCAGAGCCACAGAAATATCTTATTGCTGTGACTAATCAGCTTGAAATTAAGATATGAAAAAAAATTCAGAGGAAGATATGGCCAGAAGCAGCTTTGTTTTGCTAGCTGAGGTGAAGACTTGAAATACCTTTTGTTTCAAAATGATAAAAAAAAAATTCTGAATCTCCTTTATTAGTATAGAGTGAGATGCTATGTACCTGTGATACGCTTCTTCTAAATATTATGGCTTTAATTTTCTGCTCTGCTCTGAATTTTTGTATATTGCATGTATGCACGATATTCAGCTTGCTGCAATCCTGCCAAAAGGCCTAAGTTACATGAATGTTTTGCATCCATTTTCAGCTGTTGTGGTTAGAGGTACCTTAATTAACATACTGGACGCTCAGACTGAAGTGCAAGCGTAGCCTGTAAGGAAGAGGCAAGTACTGTATGTAAATTCTGCATACTTCGAAATATTTCCCAAAATTACTGTGTAGAAAATATCTTGCTAGAAATGGACTAGCTCCTAGTTCCTTTGAACAAAAAGGAAATAATTTTTTTAACTTTGCATTTTGACAGAACTCTCTCTGAAAATGGCAGAAGCTCATCAAGCAGTAGCTTTTCAATTTACAGTAACTCCAGATGGGATTGACCTGCGAATGAGCCATGAGGCACTCAAACAAATTTACCTATCTGGTGTCCATTCATGGAAGAAAAAGTTCATCAGATTCAAGGTATTTTATATTAGTCAAGTCCACCAAACTTGAGGATTATTTAATGTTTTATAGATTTATTTAGGTTTTGTTTAGGCAAAACTTAATTTTTTTGCCTTTATGGCAAATAAAGTTCCTTATTGTGAAAGATTTGTGTGGGTTTTAGTTAAGACAAGGGATGCTAAAGAAGGTAGCACTGGGTGATGCTGTAAAGACTGAAAGGGTATATCTTTTTGATTTATTCTATGGAAGCAAGATGAAATAGATGTAGAAATTAACAATAGCTTTAATTTACTTCATTCTCTTCATAATACATCATGTAATTATGTAATCTTTTAGCGTAAGTCAGAAATATAACTAGTTGTGATTTTTAGTGTCGTATCTCTTAGAGGTACAAAACTATACTCTTGATTGTATGTATTCTTTACCACAATTAAATTTTCAAATTAAAGAGAATGTTTGCTGTTTTCAAAAAAATTACCTGAACATCTATCTTGTACAAGTTACGCTAAGTAGTAATGTTTCTGATGAGGTATTCTGATCAAATTTATATAGATTGTTGTGAGTTTATTGTTTTGTTCATGGGATCATAAATGGTAAGTATTTTATTAGTAGCAAACTAGATAAGCTATCTTCAACATCTCTTTCAAAAACATATTTTTAACAGTAGTCTTAATAAAATCTTCTTATAAAGCTATGTGAAGGACTGTTTAAATGATAAAAAAAAAAAACTTGATTCCAGTTTTCAGTGTCTTGTTCAGTAGAATATTTTTGCAATGTATTCATTTAGAGAGGCCTAACTCGGTGTAAGTGGGAATTATTGAAGTGTCATTTGTTCCAAAGTTGTTTGGTAATTTCAGTATTTTTAGTAAGACTTACAGCAGGATCCGTGTTGTCTACAAAAGAACTTAAAAGTTCTTTTAATTCTTGATATCGTTGTAACAATTTTCCATAGGAGCAAAACTTAACTAAATCCATTCCCTCCTCCTGAGTTAAGCATACGTAAGAAAATGTTGTATAATCTTAACTTCTTGTTTAAAACTAAATGACTTAAATGTGTTGATTTTTGTTTCTTTCCATGGTAATATGAAGTCAACCACTTTGGTATGAAAAAATTATGTGAAGGCTTTTCTTTCCAGAATGGAATTATCACTGGCGTTTATCCTGCTAGCCCATCTAGCTGGCTTATTGTAGTTGTGGGTGTGATGTCAACAATGTATGCCAAAATTGATCCTTCTTTAGGAATAATAGCTAAAATCAACCGAACGCTTGATACAACGTAAGTAGACTGAAAAGTTACTGTATTACTACGTTGTTTTCTGAGTATTTGAGAAGCACATTTGGCAGCTTCTGTGGCCTTTGATCTTGTTGCATGAGAGGGTTTTTGGAAAGGATTTTGTGAAAAAGGGCTAAACAGGCATGAAGCTTGTGTAATGCCTGCCTGTAGTACCATTAGGCTTAGGTTTGCAATATTAGGTTCTCTTTAGAACTTAAAGTGACATTAACTGGCATATGCTGGCTTTTGTTTTAAATAGTGGCTATATGTCAAACCAAACACAGAACATCGTGAGTGGAATCCTTTTTGGCACAGGGCTTTGGGTTGCCCTTATTGTCACAATGCGCTACTCTCTAAAAATGCTGCTTTCCTATCATGGTTGGATGTTCGCTGAACATGGCAAACTTTCTGCAGGCACCAAGTTTTGGATGGTAAGGATATATCAGCTTCCTGTTTCATCTTAACCTCTATCTGATCTGTATTCAAAGCGCTAAAAGAGAAAATTTCGTAGGTTTTTCCTTGCTTGTTTTTTCTGTGTCATGGGACAGGAGGCTGTTAGGTAGATATTTCTACTAATTACTGTCATCCTTCTGATGCTATAATTAAACTATTCAGGATGGCCTTGTAGAAGGAAGAGTAAACACTTCAAGAATAACTTCTAAATTTGCCAACACCTTGGGACTGTATGACTCAAATACCTACTTTTTCTCTATGTGCAAGTACAGCTTAAAGAACTTGGGCTGCAGCACCAAAGAATCTTGTCCTCCCCAGAAAGTGCTACCCTAATTTGTTGTTGAAATGTTTAGGGTTCCTAGTCATCCATTCTAAAATTAATCTTATGCTTGAAGAAAATAATATTGAATGTCCTTTCAATTGATTTAGTGGTATGCCTCCAAAATGGGTTGGAGAAAAAGTGTAAGGTAGGTAGCTTGTTTTCACATAAGGATAAGATGAGACTGATCTGGCTCCTGTTGATTATTGTGGTGCTTTGGAAAAGGATCCTTAAAGGATGTGATAGGTATAAAGTGAGGAAATGTACATATAGGTGCTCCAAGAGATGAAGTGGGTTTTTGTTACTTGGACTTGGTTGTTTCAACTCACTTTCACCAGTATTGTTATAGAAATAACTTAAGTGCCCTACTATGATAAAATTAGTCTCTGCAGCCTCAAAAATTAACTGATGTGTGTTAGACTAACAACGTGTCATGATTTATTATGAAATATGTTCAAGAACAGGTATCCAGAATGGTACACTAAAATAGAATTTAATGTTCATCTGTTACAAATGAAATTTCTAATTGATAGTTTCTCCTGGAAGCAGTATCAGGAGCCTCATGACTCGAATTTGTACAGTACAGGCTCTGAATGGTAAGGCTTTCTGTGAATTGCTTGAAGCTGTAGCTGTCTGGGTGTTCAGCATGTCCTACCAGATGGATATTTTAAAGTTGTTAATATTGCCTTATCAACCTTAAACAGTATGAACTGTAATGCTACTTACCATGCTTTGTGTATTGTATTTATAAATTTTTGTCTATTATATATGTTGCATATGTATTTTGTTGTGTATTACACGTTTTAAAATATAGAACACTATAAAGGTGTATGCCCAACAATATCTCATCTATACTTAATATGAAGCTCTACTTTAATACCTTATTCCTTCTTCAGCTAGTCCCAACAAAAGAGAAGACTGTTTTCCCTAGTAAAACAGTACCAACTACCGTAGTTTTCTGGATTTTTATTATCCTTTAATATTGTGTAATTTTCTGGAGGGGTTTTCATGTTGTGTTGGTTTGGTTTTTTTTCTTAGCTATTTTTCATGCTGTTAATCAGCATGAAAAATACTATCGTGAATATACTGTCTTCTGTTCAGATAGTCATGCAGATCAAAAACCTGAGCTCTGATTTCAGTCACAGTACAAAGTGACTGATTTTCAGGCTGGTTGGAAGACTGATGGCACTTTTAATGAACATATTTCATCTTCTAAAGTCAAATTTCCTGTACCAGGATTAGGGGAAAAATCCAAGTATTAGTTGCAGTTTTAAAAAATATGTTAAAAAATAATAATAATCTGTGAACAGATGCAACGCATGCTAGAATGAGATTATTTGCTGTGTCTGCATATGAAATTAGAGATGTAATTAAGTATGCATGTCTTTCAGATCACTTTAATGGTCTCAAACTCTTATAAATTCTCTACTACAAGTTTACTTAAGAGGTAAATACTGTGAAATGTGTTTGCTGTTTTTGTCAGTTGAGCAGGTACTCTCTGAAGATAAATTCAGCCTTTCCTGGTTTAAGAGTTCTGGAATAAAATTGTCTTCAAGTGTGGAATTAGATTTTCTTATGAAAAGCTGAGTGTTTTTTTTCCTCACCTGTATTCAAATTTATCTTGTCATGAAGCACAACTAGATTTCATTGGGCTGATCACTGTGATGCATCCATGTGTATCTGACAACTCTGATACAGATCCATTTGCAGGGAGGTCTTTTGTGGTAATACTCTGCCATTCTTAATAGTTTTGTGCTGCCTAAAACAACCTCCTCTAGCTGTGCTGACCAAGGAAATTGAGAGGGGGGGAAAACCTACTTTTTAACAAGTAGTTTTGTCAGTTGGGGTGGGATAGAAGGGAGAAGTTATAGGAATTTTAGTAGTGAAATGACATCCTCTGTTTTCTTCCGTCTTTAGTCTATTGGCCTATATACAATACGTGGTATAGTATAGTGGACCAAGATTGGACTTTTACAATAAAGATTCCACTGAATTGTTGGTGTAATAATTGACCTTACTTTCATGCTGAAATAGGGTGATAATGTCAAAATCCTTTCATGTGTAGCCTAGAAGTTGCATGGCCTAGACTTTGAGCCTAGTGTGTGTCACAGCTGAGAAGTAGTTGTAGACAGAAATGCTGCTTCTGTCTTCAGTCTCCCATGGAAAACAGGAGATGCTGTAATACCTGAAGCGAAGATGGGAACTGTCATCTCTGGCTTTTTTGTTTTGTTGGTTTTTTTGTAACACAAGCACTGAGTATAACACTGGCATGCTTGCACAATTTGGGATGTTCAAATCATGCAGTAGACTACCTGAGATAGACTCACGCTTGAAGAAACTCCCTGTAACATCAATACTATTATTGATGTTGCGCTATAACTTTGCAAAATATTAAACCATGATTCCAAAGCATAATTATTATTTTTAAAGGTGGCTATAGTTATCTAGGATCCTTAGCTGAGTGACAGGCTTGATAATGATTCCCGTTTTGAAGCACAATATAGATGTTTTTGTAGTATCTACTATATAGTAAGAGATCAACCGGTAGACTTGCTTTTTTAATCTTTACAGAGGGAAATGTATGAAGAAAAGAAGTGCTAAGAAACTCTGTCTTTATTTTCTGTTGAGATCAGGGTGTGCCATTCATAAACAACAATATTGCCTAGTGACCAGAAGATTGTCTGGCAAGTCAGGAGTGACTATGACCGTCTTTATCTTCCACTGACATGTTGTTTAACCTTTAGGAAGTTAGTTTATGTCAGTGCCTTTTTGATTTGTGAAACAATGATAAATATGATAGTTTGCTAAATTTAGTACAGTATAATTTACCAGTGAAAAGAACTATGGGTTACATTACACTTTATTACTCTGTCATTTTTCTTTTGTTGAACCTAATAATTTGATGTGTGTATTTTGTTTGTTTGTTTTTTTTTCTTCAGGCACTTGTAAAACTCTTCTCAGGACGTAAACCCATGTTATACAGTTTCCAGACATCTTTACCACGATTGCCAGTTCCAGCTGTTAAAGACACAGTCAATAGGGTGTGTACATTCATTAATTCATTTTCTTCAGTAACATTGAATCCATAGTTAGATGCCCTTGTGGGTTTTTTTTGCCATGTCTTATAAAAGTATTGCATGGTGGTATTAATATGGTGTAATGGATTAAAACTTCTGCATAGAAATTAAAATAAAGGCTGTGACAAACTGAAACTGCTGACAGTTTGAAGCTGGTGTAATTGATATTGGATGATGTGATGTCTGTTGATGTAAGACTATGCAACGAAGTGTGATTTCCAGGGCTTTTGAAACATACCAGTTTTGTTATCTTCCACAGCTTGAACATATAAATGTGTGTTTTATGACTCAAAACCTTATAGCAAAGAGTGTAAGTAAGATGTATATAGTATGTCACAGAAACTGAAGGTTTAATTTTTAGAGACAAAAAAAATATTTCTGCCTGATACTGAAGAAGCAGTATATCTTCCCCTTTTGAGTGGAAAATGTATCTTTAGAAAAGTAACCTCTTCCACTTGTGATTTGCTGACAAATGTCTGGCAAAAGATCTCATTTTTGTAGTTTGCAGGCAGATGTTTAGAAGAGTGTATATTCTTATTTTAACAACATAGTATTTATAACCTTATGAATTGAATCTGGATAATCTTTGTCTACTGTTCAAATGCTTTGTGTAGGAATGGCGAGAAGCTACGTATTAGTTACTATACTGATGCTGATTCTTGTGCTGTATTCTAGTATCTGGAATCAGTTCAGCCACTTATGGATGATGAAGAATTCAGAAGAATGGAGGGTCTTGCCAAAGATTTTGCATTTAATTTGGGACCAAGGCTTCAGTGGTATTTGAAGCTAAAATCCTGGTGGGCCACAAACTATGTGAGTAGATAAATAGGAGGCTCAATTGTTCAAATGACATAACTTAATTTGTTCCCTGTTGCCTTTTTTGGCTTAACTTTCATTCTTTCTTAAATGTGAAAGAAGGCAATTGAAACTGCCTAATATTTTTGTAAAGTGCATCAGAGACCACCTGATTTGCACAGAAATAATTTGTGTGATTTGGTAAACAAACAGTATGGTGAATGGAACTTGAAAGAATGAATCCTCATTTTGTGTTTGTTATTTTGGAGCAGGTGATTTAGCTTTTGCTCTTATGATTGCTTTTGAGGTCTGTTTATTTGCTTGTTAAGCTTGATAACTCAACAATGGGCCTGGCTAGCCATGTAGTTTAGAAGAGTGATTTAGGACAACTTTTCTATATAGAGCAGCTAAAGGATATGGAAGAGAAAGAATTGCAACAATAAGTTTGTTTTGGGTTGGGGGGAGGGTGTTGGTTCTTTTTTTCCTTTTTTTTTTACCAAAAAGAAAACCCAAACCCCAACAACATGGTGAGAACTGTAATATAATTCCTTCCTGAAATATTATGAAACATCTGGCTGTACCCAATAGCCTAAGCTGAGCTACAGTGTCCTGGCAAAGGCTGCAAAACATTGAGGAGATCTGATACATTTTAAACATTGTCTGAAGGTGATGACTTCTTCAGAAGCTTATCAGAGAGCTACAGCTGAATTTAATTTAATTCTCTTGCCCCTTTTTTGGTGTTTTCCCTGAAGTTTAACACATATTAGGTTTTTTTGTTTGCCTTTTTTAAGTAGGGGAGCAAGCTAGCAGTTTTCTTCCTGCTTCTGTATGGAATGTTGTGTTGTGGAGTCACTAACACAGAAGGCACAAACTGTGGAAATTACGAGATTTTACTGCTTTTGTTTTCCTTCCTGCTACAGGTTAGTGATTGGTGGGAAGAATATATCTACCTTAGAGGACGCGGACCGATTATGGTTAATAGTAACTATTTTGCAATGGTAGGTAAATACTATAAACAACTTACGTGTCAAACAAGCACTGTAAAATTTCTGCCAGGTATCTTATTTCGTTATATCTTTCTGTTTAGAAATCCATTGCCACTGAGTATGTGACCTTTGTTTTTCTTTCTTCTAGTATAACCTACAGCCAATGTCTTCAAGTACAGTGCTATCTTAATAATAAACTTAGCACATCTGCCACTTAGGCAAACTCATGCAGTAATGACTTACACAGTTTTGTGCTTACTGCAACAAGCAATCTTTCAAAAGCTCCATGTAAAACTTCATGGGTAACACAGTTCAACAAGGTGTGTGCTCATATTCTCAAATGTCTATATGGGAAGTAAAATTGTAAAAGACCCTAAAATTAAAAGCAAGAAGAGGAAATATTCTAGTCTTGGATTCAAGTTTTAAGTAGCATTGTCTTTTCTACTGGGATGATTAAGAGCTATCATGTATGTTTTAGGACTGATGCTGTTTAAGGAGATTGTGACTGTTGAAGAAATTTAAGTTTCAAGTCATCAACTCACTGCACTAGTGCACTTCATATGTTTTAAAGCCTTTTCTATATTGACCAGAATAAACTTTAAGAATGTGGATGAGAAGTACTATCAGTATTTTTTTTTTTTAAATCTAGTCTGGTAATCATTAACTTATGATTCTTATGTACTTTACAGGACTTCCTTTATTTATCTCCCACAACCCTGCAGGCAGCTAGAGCTGGTAATGTTATCCATGCCATCCTGCTCTATCGGAAAAAACTGGATAGACAAGAAATCAAGCCAGTATGTATAACAGTTTAAATGGCTTTTGATCTTTTTCCAGCATAGTCTGTAAGAAGTCGATCGGTTTTCAGAATGGGAGAGGAGAGGAATTTCTTATTGTCAGAACTACATGTAAGATGTAACTAAATTTGTGCTCCCAGACATCTTGGTTATCATTTGAATTGCACATGGGCAGAAACTACCAACTATCACAAATACAGGATTCTGTCATGCCAACTAATTGCAGTATTTGAAATTAATGTATGTATTTGCCTGAAAGACAAATAGGGGCTTGTACTTGCATATGTTAACATCTGTTATACGGAATACTTACTGGTATGTGCTAAGCATGTAATTGTACTTTTGAGCCACTGAAGTCTGAAAAGTCTGTGGCATCATGTAGTGTAAGCACGGGGAGGTGATTGGGACAAAGGGCTGGACCTTGAGGCCAAGAGTGGGCCAGTGGCAGCGTAAGTATAGATGATGATAAAATTCTGTGCTGCACTAATTTCTAGGTGGCAAAGATAGGCAAGGTGAATCTCATTCTGAATTTCTGTTCTGTCCAGTGGTTGTGTGTTGTAGCGAACAAATGTTGCAGAAACAATTAAGTAGTTTTGCTGAAGGTCATGGCAGGGATGTGATTAGTTGTATGTAACTACAAATCCGAGAAATGTGAAATTCTGTTCCTACACAGCCAGCAATAGCTTTAAAAGAAGAAATTAAGGGGTAATGCATGCTGCATGTATAAATTTTGCATCCAGACTGGCCACTGAGAGCTCTTTGGATTTCAGATGCTAGCTGGCTTCAGTCATCCCTCCTGAAGGGTGAGCTTTTGGTAGGGGGGTGGGAAAAATACAGCTACTGGAATGTCAGTGGAATCTTCCACATGTAGTTCAAGGAAAGACAATGAACAGGGTGGGGGGAACCAAACCTGAGTTGACGTATTATAAATCTTACTGTTCTACAGCCTGTCTTTAACCAGATCCTGTTTTTTCTTTCCTTTTTAATTTGCTAATTGTATATGCAAAATTACATTTTAATATACATTTGCGGCACAGATTCTTCTGATGGGATCTACTGTTCCACTCTGCTCAGCTCAGTGGGAACGGATGTTTAATACCTCCCGTATCCCAGGAGAGGAATCAGGTAAGCAGGGCCAGCCGGGGAATAAACATCTTAATGGAATTCAGTTTTTGGAGTATTTTCTGCTAAAATCCCATTTTTCCAGATAAGGATCTGACAGACACAAGAACACACCAATACTGTGTTCCGATACTCAGGAAGTAATGAATTGCTATAGAGTGCATAGATGGTTTTTCCTTTTAGGGTGATTATGAAACTTCTTCAGTGTTTTTTTGTCTCTTCCTTTACTTAAATTAAAAACTAACTTCAAGAAACTGTTGTCTGCCCTGTGTTTTTGATTTATAAATAACCTTTACTTTTCTCCATTCTACTCTTTCAGGATCCTTTGATATCCATGTTTTTATCTTTATAAAAGTTGTGTTCTCTTATCTCAACCATTTTAAAATCTTTTGCTTGCTTGACTTTCCCTTTTTCCTTTCAGCTTATGATTCACAACAGCATCCCAACCTGTTCTTCTCAATATGAACATACGTTCAACACTAGTTGTTTACCTGGTTTAGAGGCAGTCTTAGTCCTGTCCAGGTTTTCAATGCCACTGTAACCTTGACCTTTTGTATGTACTGTAAGACATCAGCTAAGTGAAATCACCTGTAATAAGGACTGTGTCCAAACTTTCTATGTAACAGATTAAGAAAATATATACTCTGAGTTTTGTTAGTTCCCGCCCTGCCCTAACTCCCAGCAATTGTCTGATTATCCTAAGCTATGAGTAACTAAGTTTTCACATTCTAATGTTGAATAGAGGGGTGTACCTGTTGACTTACAGCAGGGTCATTTTCACCTGAGTCTGTTCCTGCAACTTCTGCTTATTGTGGGAGACTAAGGATGTGTTTACATGATCACAAGCAATCATGTTAGCTCAGTCAGGAAAAAAAAATGTATCTGTAAGTGACAGTTCATATACACTTTCTCACTGTAGGTGTACATATGGTGTCATTACATGCATTCATTAACACTGCCTATAGACATAAAAGCATTTCACTTTAGTCATTGGCAAACCTTTGATAAATTGTTTGTTGTTGTATCTCAACATAAAAATATAATATTTTTTGATGGTCAATACATCATCCAAGCTCTTGAGGCTGATTCTTCTGCATATGGTGTTATTTTTCTAACGGTAATGTATCCCTAAAGGTTCATCATGGGTTTCTCCCCAAAGTAGCCTCCAAAGATCTCCATCAGCTTATCCTAAATTTTCCAGGCTCGAGCTCGTTTTTATGATCTTAATATTAAAGTGGCTTTTTTGTTGTTGGTTTTCTCTTTCCTGAGTTTTGTCACATAAAAGGAGGCAGATTGCATCTAGAAATACTAACACTTGTAGTCAACAGGTGGAAGAAAACATTGCTATCCATTTTCTTGTTCTTTGAGAAGCAAACTAAAAATTTCACAGCAGATTTGAGTGAATTTCCGTTGTGCTTTCTACAAAAGCTTAAGCTATATCTAGGTTTCTCTGATCTGGTTATATGCTAAAGAGCCTCTTAGAACTGAGTTCACATGTTTATCCAACACTGTGTTGTTGTGGCAGCATCATGATGAAATACAGCATTTGGTAGAGTTATCCTGATTAGTTATGATTAGTGCAGAGGACAATCACTAGGAATTTGGAATGCAAGGGGTTATTGGTTAGTCACTTCCATTGGGAATGGACTGTCACTTGAAGATACGATATATTTTTTAACTTTCTTTTGAGATCTGTAACTCATGTTTCAAGCTGCATTTGAGCATGTTAGTCCCACTCAACTACAGAATAAAAAACATAGAGTTTCTAAACAGACACAGGGATGTGCCCACTCTTCCCTGCTGGAGGTCTGACATTTGCTGTACTGTATGAAGTTGGATAAGGGGGGGAAGTGGCATTGGCTAGTGGATAAAGCAGTAGGTGCATGTGTCAGATAAGGATTTTACTCTCAGTTCTGCTACTGGTCTTTAGTAGATATTGAGGAATTATTTCCCAGCTATGCCTCAGCTTCCTTTATCTGCAAAATGGAGAAAAACATATCCTTGATGCAATGACTACCTTGATCATGAACTAGTAGCTTAAGTAGACTAGCAAGTTTAAAAATCTCTATTAGACAACTGTAGTGTATGAGCCATTGTTATTTAGAATACGTCAAGTATGGAAAGTGCTACCCTTGCCTCCTCCCGGTCCTCAATAAAATAAAAGGTATGAACTATTTGCATTTAACTTTGGATTTTGTGTTCTCTTAGTCTGAAATGAGTTTTGCACAAAAATGTAGAAGTAGCCCATTCTAACCATAACACCTGATTAAAATACATCCTTAATGTATTAAAATGGTTAATGATTAAAATACATCTTAATGGTTCTCTTCAGTTTCTCCTGCTTAAAGTCTTTCAAATTAAAGTACAGTCAGCATCACAAAAATTACCTTATTTTCCTCCTAAGTACTTCACATTTCCTGTTTTACTTTTTCAGTTTTTCATTGTTTCTATTCTTCCAAAGGAAAAACAACTTTTGTCATTCTGTATGTGGATAAGTGAGTTATAAAGACATTTTTCCCAGCTTTTCATGAGTAGCTTGATTTCTTGCCCTCTGATTTCAATTGTATTTTATATATGTTACAGTTCCTAAAGGAGCAGCATATTTAAAAAAAAAAAAAAGGAAAAATTCTGTGGCATGTCTTCATGTTAATTGGTGGTAAAATCTTAATGAACATTGTATCCTGTTGCTTGAGCAGTTGTTTAATCTTCATGTCTTTTATCAAAACACACTATGGAGTAAACCACTTCTTTTAAGCAGGGAAGCCTTTATGTCTTTCCATTCCCACTTTTTTTATAGGAAATCCATGTAGCATGTTACATGCGTCTTCAGATGTACATAAATGACTTCTTGGACTGGCAAGAAAAAGGAAAGGATTTTTTTGTATTGCAAGAAATCTGTACTCCACGTGCATAAGTCTGTATTTAGGCCCATAAATAAGGTGTCTGAAAGGTAATTGCCAGGGCTTAACAACTGTTGTGAAGTCAGTTGTTGATGTAGATAACTAATGATCTCACTTTTGCTTTTTACACTCCAGAGGTTGTCTTTTTTGTAGGGACACATCATGTACATGAGACAAATACTTGAGGTGTCCCAACTTATAGAAAAAGTTAACTCACTAGGTGATTGCTTTGCTGCTTCTTTCCCCCTCTGTGGGGTTTCTCCTCAATTCACAACCCATTGTATTAATGTACTTGACAGTTGGAGTGATGCTTCTGCCGATCCTAGCACTTTTATCACAGGCATCCTATCTTTGGCAGAAATGCAAAGTAGATAGCCAAAGGCATGATTAGCATAAAACTGCTTCTGATCAGTAGATGGAGCATACCTACCAAAACTTTATGGGTAGCTGAGAGCACCCGAAGTATAGAACTCTTTCCTGGTACAATGTTTCTCAGATCTCTCAGAATCATGACTTTTAGGCTCAGCCCTCATTTTTGACATCATCTTTCTTCACCATCTCAGTAATGGGTCTTTTCAGATTCATAGGAATATAACAGTTCCTTGGGGTAGTGAAGGAATTCAGTTAACAGTTTTCATCAGTTGAGGGCTTTTCCTGGCTGCTGTAGAAACCTTCATCTGTGGTTTGATACAATGCCTTCATGACTAAGTTCAGGCTTATTCCAATTAAGCCATGTAAATAATAAAGCGATGAAAAATTTGTGGCCTAGGTTTCTGCTTCACTGACTTCCATAACACTACACTTTTTGGCCATAGATGGAGTGTTCACTCTGCATCTGCCAGGATAAATGTGAACAAAAGCTTATGGTACTAAATTTGGGCTCTCTTAAGATTCTCCACAGATTGTACCGTGATTTGTCTAGCACTTGAATGCAGATGATTTAAAAAAAAAAAAAACAAACCAAAAAAACCCCAACTTTTAAATCAAGTACCTTTCCTCAGGTTCTTCTAGCGTGTTCTTTTGCTGACTGCTTAATCAGACTACACTGCTAGTGCTTACTTTTCAGATACAGAAATACAGATTTAGTTGCTTTATATTGGCCTCCAGTGTGGAAACTGGTGGAGCTATATATGCAAATGATTGTCAAATCTGGGTTTTTGACTATTTCATGCAGGAATCTTTGTGATGAAATAACATGGGGAAGCAGTTTATTCCACACTATTTATTACTTTGTTAAAATAAATAAGCTGTTGCTAACTGGTAGTGCATGCAGTAGGCATTTGATGTTATTCAGTCCATTAGTGTTTTGAGACTTCAGCTTTGTTTTCACACAAGTGATTGCAATTCTAGATACTCTCCAGCATGTGAAAGACAGCAAACACATTGTTGTGTATCATAAGGGCCGTTACTTCAAAGTGTGGCTGTACCATGATGGTAGACTGTTGAAACCCCGAGAAATTGAACAGCAGATGCAAAGAATTCTTGATGATGATTCAGAGCCTCAGGCTGGTGAAGAGAAACTAGCAGCTCTTACTGCAGGAGATAGGTATGGTGGTTATTATTTTTTAAATTAATTTTAATATTTAGAAATAGTTGCATAGTACACTAATTGAATATTGGCTTTGGAATTGTAAAATAGTCTGCAGTCAGTTGATTATACCTTTATCACTGATTTTCTATCTTGCTAACATCTAACAGCTCTTCAGTTATTTGTAACTACATGGAGTTAGAAGTAATTCTGCAGTGGCAACCCTGTATGCAGCTTACCTATACTTATCTGGAGAATTTTGATTTGATTGTGGTTATCATAAGAGTGGTAACTGGAAGCTTTACAGTATTACACATATTGAACTGCTTGAGTTTTATATCTACTCTTGGGTTCACTGGCATTTTAAAGAATATCTTAAAAATTAAGATTGAGAATGTAAATTCAGTAACTGTTACTCCATATTCATGACTTGCACCTACAAAATGAAGCAGTATATACTCAGTTGGCTCGAGGTGCAAGATTATTGAATTAAATTAAATTGTGACAAACTTAGTTCAATCTGTCTAGTTGTTTCTGGACAAGGGAGAGAAAGAGCTGTGGATTTTAATATACTTTCTTACTAGGAGTCCTCCCTTTCTCTCAGTTTCTGCTTTAAAACAAACAAATAATTTTTCATTGGGAAAACCACATAAATTTATAAATAAACATGGTGCAATCATACAGAAATTACATTGTTCAGGACTTCTTTGATTTCAGATCTGTTTCAGGCATTTACCATGGAACTTTTTATTGACAATTTTCCAGATTCTTAGATTTAGGTATTACAACGATATCTGTTGATTGTTTTCATTATTATTACTATTTTCTTCTTCCATATAATAGATATTTTCTTTTGTTCAGTTATAAATGTGGATGATCGCTATACATATTGCATGCTGCAGAAATGTTGAATTTCTGAGGTTTAAGCTTCACACGTGTGAAGCTTATATGTTGAATTGGTTCCTAGGATTACACTGTACGTGTATTTTTGGAACTTTTCACTGCTGATACAGTTTAAATGCAATGAAAGTAGTTGCTTCAAATTTGATAAAAGTAGGAGGAATGTCTCATAGTAATCTTAAGGGTGATAAAACATTGACACATTCACGCAATCTGGCTATAAACCATATTCTTTTTGCAGAGTACCATGGGCTAAAGCTCGACAGACTTATTTTAGCCATGGAAAGAACAAACAGTCCTTAGATGCTATTGAAAAAGCAGCATTTTTTGTGACATTGGATGACATCGAGCAAGGGTACAGGAAAGAAGATCCAGTGAGGTCACTGGATACATATGCAAAATCATTAATACATGGCAGATGTTATGACAGGTACACTATTGACTCTGTGGAAAACGCCTTCTCTTTTTTAGAATTTCACTAATTCTCGTGGCTAATACATATGATTTAGTGACTTATAAGCTGATAAATCTCATAGAATCACAGAATGGTTTGGGTTGGAAGGGACTTTCAAAGATTATCTAGTCCACCACCCTTGCAATGGGCAGGGACACCTTTCACTACACCAGATTGCTCAAAGCCCTGTCCAACCTGACTTTGAATACTTCCAATGATGGGGCATCCACAACTTCTCTGGGCAAGCTGTTCCAGTGTCTCACAACCCTCATCATAAAAAAAACAAAAAACAAAACAAAAAAACCCCAGAAGTTCTCCCTTATGACGAATCTAAATCTACCCTCTTTCAGTTTATAACCGTTGCCCCTTGTCCTGTCACTACGGGCCCTGGTAAAAAGTCTTTCTCAGTCTTTCTTATAATCCCTCTTTATATGTTGAAAGGCCACAAGAAGGCGTCCCAGAGCCTTCTTTTCTCCAGACTGAACAACCCCAACTCAGCTTTTCTTCCTGGGAGAGGTGTTCCTGCCCTCTGCTGCACCCACTCTTAACAGGTCCATGTCTTGTACCGGGAACCCCAGAGCTGGATGCAGTACTCCAGGTGGGGTCTCATAAGAGCAGAGTAGAGGGTGAGAATCGCCTCCTCTTGACCTGCTGGCCACACTGCTGCTTACGCAGCCCAGGATATGATTGGATTTCTGGGCTGCAAGCACACATTGCTGGCTCATGTCCAATTTTTCATCCATCAGTACCCCAAGTCCTTCTCTGCAGGGCTGCTCAATCCCTTCATCCTCCAGTCTGTTGATACTGGGGATTGCCCTGACCTAGGCATAGGACCTTGCACTTGGCCTTGTTGAACTTCATGAGGTTCAAATTTATGTCTATTTATTTAAATAAACTTATTTTAAAAAACCCAAACCCCTAAGAACTAGTGCATTTGAATGTGAATTTTTGAGAGATGAAGTTACAGTATAAAAATGCTTTTGAAACCTACAAAACCATAAGGAAATCTTAATTTCTTTTGTAGGTGGTTTGATAAAACATTCACTCTTATAATATTTAAAAATGGCAGAACGGGTCTGAACGCAGAGCACTCTTGGGCAGATGCTCCTATTGTTGGACACCTGTGGGAGGTAGGTGTTTAGTACAAAAAGTTAATGCAGAAAATTATGTGATATGGTCTGTGCAACAGTCCTGAAGATCAGCAGGTACCCTTGCATGAATCCCTTGCATTCATGTTGCTGATGAGTGATTATGGGCCTGTGTTTATAGCAACTGTGGAATTAAGAAAAAAAAAAAAAAAAAAAAACCTTGCTTAAAAGAAAAGGTTGCTGTCCTTTAAATTAAAGGTCTTTCTTGCTTTTTAATGAACATAGATGTCTCCATAGAAAAGTGATACGGCTCCCCATCTAACTTGTTTATAATCTAAATCAATAGATTGTTGCCTCTTTGATATGGCATTGTATTTTGCGTGTATACATGCTCCTGAAGCACTTAAGCTTTCTTGTGCTATAAAAATCCCACTTACTTTCAAAATTTAAAGAAATGGTACAGAGTTTAACTTTTCCTCTAAGCTATTGTTTGATGAGCTGCAGATTGAGATGCTGTTTAAATTATATCTTGTATTTATTTGCAATGAATGGAATAAATCCACTTTTTGTCAGGTTTATTCAGCACGAGCTTAGTTTGTTACTTTAAATCCTATTTGATTTTTTTCTTTTTCTTTTTGAAGCTTAAACCCATAAACAGTTACATGACTCAATCACTCAAAACTATTTCATTAACAGTAGCTAATTCTGATTTCATTATGTATTTGTGAAAATGGGTCTCAGGTCTGACTGGTGTCCCAAGTAATTTCCTAATTTTATTGTATATTGTTCTGACCACTAAGTGAGAAAATTAAATTAAAAGAAGAGATTAGAAATATATATGTAGAACATGCAATAGATTTTTGTCAAGTTTTCTCTTTCCATATTGAGCAGTTTCAAATCTATTGATAGTTCTGTATTTTTTTAATTTTATTTTTTTTTTAGCATTGAGGATATTGTTTGAAATCTTGTAAGACAGAGCCTTTTTTGTCTGTTGTTCAAGTTCTGTTGTTCATCTTGGTAATATTCTACTTCCCCACCCAAGAGCTCTAGTGAACATATAGAATAAATTGCAATTTTGAGTAGGATGCAAATCTTAAAAATTATTAAATTCTTGCAGGGATATGCACTTACTCTGAAATAAACTGTTTCTTGATGAACAAGTTTTGACACATAACAAACTTGCAGAGATTGTCTGTAATCTAAATTGAACAAAGGTTGTGAAATCTAAGACTCTAAGACTGACTTTTTTTTTTACTACTAGTAAATTTGAGGTGGGTTTTTAATTGAAACATTTTAATGAATTCAATAGCATCTAACAAAATGCACCAGTGTAATTGAATAGGTATTTGTGCATATCTGGTATTCTTCCCACTCAGAACACAAATAGAAATGCCTTAAAATAAGAGGTAAAACAGAGGGCTTCACTTGCAGCCGTTTTCAGTATTTGGAAATGGATTGTATATTGTATTTCACTATCTACTGAAAATGGGTCATACTGATTTCACAATGACATCCTAATTCCACAGCAATATGTAATGTGTTGCAATTCTGAAGAAGTATTGTTCTTTGCAGAATGCAATGGCAACTGAGTATCTTGAACTGGGCTATTCAGAAGATGGGCATTGCAAAGGAGATACCAATCAAAATATTCCTATTCCTACCAAACTACAATGGGAAATTCCAGAAGAAGTAAGTACAGAACAGCTAGTGGTTTGAAGAAGCAGCTCCTCATTTCCTGAGCAGTCAAATAATTTAAGTAATTACTGATAACCCTATAAATCAGCTTTAAATTCCTTTGAGTCCTATAAGATGAGTATTTCATGTGTGGACATTACTGAGTTTACTTAAAAAGATATGAGTGGGTTTTAACATCACTCTTTAAAAATTCTGGCCAGGAAATGCCAACTTTTTACTAGAAACTTTATTGGTTGGCAACATGTCAAAAATAAGTGGACGCTTGTTTTAAATAGTAACTCTATTAAAATGATGTTTAGGTTGCTGAGGTTTCATTACTATAGTCACAACAAATGCTCTTGTGTAATAGTTTCTTGAGATTACCTGTCTTTTTTGTGTTCAAAATTCTGTATACATGTCTAATAAGGCTTGATTTTTTTTTTTATCCTTCCACCCCTCCCCCCCGAGTTCAAGACAAACTGCCATCACCTATTTGGATTTTAATTTTGAATAAAAAGGTAATGGTTAGTGATATGTTTAAGCATGTATGGCAGATTGGAAGCCACGCAACTATTGCCATTCTATCTCTGTCAGTCATTCTATTATGTTCTAGTGATCTGAACAGTCTTAATGTGGGTGTTTTTTTTAAAGTGTAATTTTTGGACTCCAGATGTGTACTGGCTTAAAACTTATTTTTCATTAGCTTTTCAAATTTTAACTTTCTGGCAAAGATAGCTTCTCCTCTTTCTCCAAAGGGAGTTTATTTAGATAATGATATTCCTGGCATGCATAAAGGCAGCATTTCTTATTTATCAATTAAAAATACTTGCACTTTTTCAACAGTTCTCTCAAATGCCATCAAATGCATGTGTATGCACATATGTGCATTTATTTATTTATTTGTTTGTTTGTTTTAGTGTCAAGAAGTGATTGAGAGGTCTCTGAGCACTGCCATAGCTCTGGCAGATGATGTGGACTTCCATTCATTTTTCTTCGATGCTTTTGGGAAGGGACTAATAAAGAAAGCAAAAACCAGCCCTGATGCCTTCGTGCAACTTGCCCTGCAGCTTGCTCACTATCGGGTAAGAACAACAGACTGTTTCTGGCTTATGGAATCTCATTAAACTGGGTATAGCGTGTTTGTGATTAAAACATGTGACTGTGTAAAGTACTTTAGAGTAATCTTGCACTGCTTGTGCAAGATTAATTAAAGACATTCAATAGAAATTGGTACAAACCCTAAACAGATTACTAGCTGGAAATTAATTGTCCAAAGGTTGGCGTATTGACACTGGTGCAAATTTTCCTCTTCTGCTTAGTTGGTCTATCCCTAGGCATTTTGGACTTGAAAGAAGTAGATATGAAACTTTCTAGTAGCTATGGTTATAATCTAAACAGTGTTATAATCTAAACTGTTAAATTTATCTTTTACTTTGGAGTCACCCTTAATTCAGTAGTCATGGACACTCCCTAACAGGATTAGCAGAAATGCCTGCCTGTTTTCTTCTGTTAGTTCACCTTCTCTATAATGTGCTTTCAGAAAACACCAGTGTAGCAAGATGCATGTTTTTCATTTTGCTTTCTAGTTATCACTGTTGAGTTACTGTTCTACTTTTTTTTTTTTTTTTTTTTAAAACATTCCAAATGGTTTTTCAAAGCATCCAGATTTCCTGGCTGCTATCACCACTTACAGTCTTTCTTATCATTGGTTAGGGTAGCTACATGGCAAATAGTTTGATTACCCACCCACCTCTTCTATTTTGAATACCCATCCTCTTAATCTAAAACTGAACAGACTTTCACGATCTGTTCTGATGTATGTTTTAGACAGGTAGAGTTGCTAACGTGTTAGATAAACTATCGTTTGGCAACTTCCAATCTGTAGATTGTGCACATCTACAGGAAATATGGAAACCACACTTCCTGGATTTTGCAGACTGTTTTCAGTTCTCACATTCTTGAAAATCTCCACAACGGCATGCATCTCCATGCTATTAAACCTTTAACTGAAAATACTTTTAAGGATGTTAGTTTTCTCTATTACTTACCACAGCTCTGTTAATTAGGAAGCCACTGAACTTTCAAATAGGTTTTTGATAGCCTTTAAATCAGCTTCTGTTATAAACTGAAGAAGACTGAATATAAAACTCAGAGGGTAGTCCTTGCTAGTTTGGTTGTTCTATTAGCATTTATCAAATCCTGCTACTAATTTTATTTTTGCCTTTATTATCTTTAGGTAAGACCACTAATGGTGGGCTACTAAAAACTTAATGTTGAGTTTAATTTGTGGAGTGATTCATATTCTGTGTGCTTACCTTGAACTGTTGATTAAGAAAGAGTGGCTAACTCTGGCTAAACCTTTAAGTTCTTATTTTTCACTTTTTAAGGATATGGGAAAATTTTCTTTAACATATGAAGCCTCTATGACACGCTTGTTCAGAGAAGGCAGGACCGAAACTGTTCGTTCGTGTACTGTCGAATCATGTAATTTTGTTCGAACAATGGAAGACCCGGCTGAAAATGTAAGTTCATGGTGTTGTTGCCTTATACAATCCATAAGGCACATGAGTTATCACTAGATATCTGTATAAGTTCCCAAGTCGTTTTTAAACACTTAGAGTGATGCCTTTGTTTTTTAGGAAGTGCAGCATAAGGTAATTGTCCACATTTTCTGTCAATTTGGCAGAAATTCAAGGCTATTCTGAAAGAGAATGGCAGTAACTTAGCCAAATATGCCATTTCTTAGAGTTCCTGAACTCCAGAAAACTAAGATGACTTGTGGAATTTTTGTGACTCATAAAATTCAAGCATAGATTTGTAAAACAAGTAATCTCATACCAGTTAGGCTTTCCTTTCTGATAGGGAAGCAAGTATTATTCACAGGAAATAAATAGTTGCTCTTATATGTTGATTTCAGTGGGCTTTTTAATCTTTATTATGATGTTCTAATTAGCAAACAAAGGAAGCATGGTCTAGGGGAAAACTGGGTTTGGAAAACTTGGACAATACCGGTTAAAATGTTTGCTATTAAAATGGAAGACGGTCGTCTTAAGGGCTGTCTGTTCTTTAATCCACTGTTAGTCACAGTTTTCACAGATACAGCTGATGAAATAAATAATTGCATTTGCAGGTTTTGCTAAGCTGAAGGGGATTCCCATTTTTTCAGGGTCAATAAAAATTTGACCTGAAAAAGAGGATTTTGTTAGATAGGAATGTACTCAAGGTATTGCATCCAGGCCTGAGTAACAGCTGTGTGGGTAGAAGTTCTAATGAAGAAGATCTAAGACTATAATAATCAGTAACTGAACACTTACATAGCATACTCAGTGCAATGCCATTTGGAAAAATGGAGCCCTCACTTTAGGTAGTCCTGCCCTTTATTTTTAGTAGTGTTTTGTCTCTGCACTTTTTTCTAGTACAGCATTAGCTGGGGTGGTGTCTCCAGTTTTGGACACCACATTTGAGGTATGGGTGGATTGGAGAGAGTCTAAAGGAGAGCAAGAAGGATGGTTAGAAACCTCTGAAGAGGATCTGTGAGGAGAGTTTGAACTTAATTATTCTTGCCTAGTCTAAAGAAGAGACAACACTGTGGAAGAGGTAGGGAGCCAGGTTGTGCTCAAGGGGATAAAAAGGCTAATGCAGAGATGATGGGAATAATCTGTTCTCTGTCTCAAGAAGTAATGGACTTAAATTTCAGAAAGAAACACATTAGGAAAACATCTCCTGCTAGTAAGGAGGGAAATAGTGAGAAGCCTGAAACAGATTACTCGGGGAGGTTGTTTTTTCACTTTGAAAATCTTTAAAAGTAAGTTACATAATGGTCCTTCAGGAAAGAGTTCTAGTGGATCAGATCTTAAGGCAGAGAAGTCTAAGCAGATGAACAGTTGAGGTTCTTTCTAGCCCCATGATTCTATGAATAAATGTTACTGCAAGAAAATAGATGCACAGAGAAAGAGAAACTTTTTTCTCCTTCCTCATTCTGGAAGTTCTATGTTGGTAAAATCCCCCATGATTTCTCAATATGCTGTGCTGGGAACTGTGATCAGACCAGTGCAAGTCTGGAAATCCAGCCATGTCAACATGTCATACATAACATGACTTGGCACAGCTACTGTACAACTACCCTGTGTATAAAAAGTAATTTTAACATAGTCCTAATGTCAGAATTAACTGCTATTACATCTCTGCAGTTACACATCTGCATTTTTGTTAAAGGAATAAGGTAACCCCATATGTGGCAAGATCATATATATAGCAGACTTCATTCTGCTCACTTTTTTTTAATGGTTACTACAAACATGATTCTTTCTTTTTCAGACTTGTTGGTTCATTACTGCCCTTCATTGGGAATGATCAGCCACAGAGCAGAGGAACCCTGCCTTCATAATGCAATTTTTAGTTTTTATGTGTTATGAAAATTATATTACATGCATTTATGTATTATTTTGAAAAGAGTTGTCTGCCTTTACTGCTTGCTTCTACTTTTTTCTGGGTTTTTCCTTAGAATTTTTCCTGAGCACTTGTATCCTCCATGGACTATCCACAAAGCTTTACTCCTTAATGCCAACGGTAGGCATGCTTAGCATGACTACAAGTGTTTAATTAGTTTCTCATGCTGGAGGCAAATAGGCTGCTCACTGTGTCCCAAAATGCAGTGATACTGGAGATAAGAAGTGACAGGTTGCCATGTACTCAGTGTGTTGCATTCCACATTATAAAATCTTAACACAGTGGCTATCTAAGTGTTTTGAACAGACACTTTCTTTCAGCCCTTGCAACATTCATACAATGTTCATAGAATCATAGAATATCTTGAGTTGGAAGGGATCCATAAGAATGATCAAGTCCAACTCCCTGCTCCTCACAGGACTACCTAAATGTAAACCATATGACTAAGAGTGTCATCCAGACGCTCCTTGAACTCTGACAGGCTTGGTGCCCTGACCACTTCCCTAGGGAGCCTGTTCCAGTGACCGACCACCCTCTCAGTGAAGAACCTTTTCCTAATGTCCAATCTGAACCTCCCATAACGCAGCTTCATTCCATTTCCTCGTGTCCTATCACTGGTCACCAGAGAGAGATCACCTCTTCCCCCTCCGCTGCCCCTCTTGAGGCAGTTGTAGACTGCGATGAGGTCACCCCTCAGCCTTCTTATCTCTAAGCTGAACAAACCAAGTGACCTCAGCTGCTCTTTACAAGTCTTGCCCTCGAGACCTTTGACCATCTTGGTTGCCCTCCTCTGGACACACTCTAATAGTTTGATGTCCTTCTTATATTGAGGTGCCCAAAACTGCACACAGTACTCAAGGTATGGGCCGCACCAGTGCAGTGTAGAGTGGGACAATCAGCTCCCTCAACCAGTTAGCTATGCTGTGCTTGACGCACCCCAGGACACGGTTGGCCCCTTTGGCTGCCAGGGCACACTCTTGACTCCTATTCAATTTGTCATTGACCCAGACCCCCAGATCTCTTTCTGCGGGGCTCCTCTTCAGCCTCTCGTCCCCCAGTTTGTACGTATAACCAGGATTACCCCGTCCCAGGTGCAGAATCTGGCACTGGCACTTGCTCTTGTTAATTTTCATATGGTTGGTGATTGCCCAGCTCTCTAGTCTATCCAGATCTCTCTGTAAGGCCTCTCTAGCCTCGAGGGAGTCCACAGCTCCTCCTATTTTAGTATCATCAGGAAACTTACTTAATGTACATTCAACTCCTGCATCCAGATCCTTTATAAAAACATTAAAGAGCACTGTCCCTAAAATTGAGCCCTGGGGAGCCCCACTGGTGACTGGCTGCCAGACTGATGTAACCCCATTTATTACAACTCTTTGAGCCCAACCTGTCAGCCAATTGTTCACCCAATGTGTTATGGACTTGTCTAGCTGTACGCTGGACACTTTGTCCGGAAGGATGCTGTGAGCGACAGTTATCAAACTCTGCAAAAATCCAAAAAAACCCACATCTATTGGCTTCCCTTGGCTAACTAGATGGGTGACCTTGTCATAAAAGGAAGTTGTTAAACAGGACTTTCTCCTCGTGAACCCGTGTTGGCTGTGACCAATGACTATGTTGTCTCTCAATTGTTTTTCAATAACTCCCAGAATAACCTTCTCCATGATTTTACTAGGCACTGAATTGAGACTGACAGGCCTGCAATTACCAGGGTCTTCCTTCTTACCCTTCTTGAAAATTGGGACAACATTTGCCAGCTTCCAGTTGACTGGGACCTCTCCAGATTCCCAAGACTGTTGAAAAATACTGGAGAGAGGTCCCACGATAACATAGGCTAGCTCTTTTAGTACCCTGGGATGAATCCCATGAGGCCCCATAGACTTATGTTCCTCCAGCTGGAGCAGCAAGTCTCGAACAAGTTCAGAGTTGGCTGGGAGTTTATCATCCCCCAAGTCACAGTCTTCCAACACAGGGCTCCAGGGGGGCGGGAGCGGTCCCAGGGCCCATCATCGGTGTTAAAAGAGGTGAAGAAGGTCTCTGCTTTGTCTATATCCCTATTTTTGAGGAGACCTTTTCGTTGTCCTTCACGGTACTGGCCAACTTGAACCCTAATTGAGCTTTGGCCACACGAATTTTCTCCCTGCAGTGGCGAACAGCATCTCTGTAGTCCTCCCGTGTCACCTGTCTTTGTTTCCAATGTCCACATACTTTCCTTTTCCACCTAAGTTCTAGAAGAAGATGCCTGCTCTGCCAAGCAGGCCTTCTGCCCCGCTTGCTTGACTTCCGACACTTTGGAATTGCCTGCTCCTGAACTCTTAAGAGAAGGCTTTTAAAAAAACGATCAGCACTCATGGACCCCAATACCTTCAGTGTTGCCAGTTTGCCTTCTAAAATGGCTGTTGCAGTTCCAGCTTTTCTTAAATCATGTTGAGATTTGCTCTTCTATAACTTTTTAAGACCAGTGTCTCTAGAAACTAAATACACAATAATGTGGTAAATTTGAGTTGTAATCATGTTTGATTCTGGGGTTAGATCACACTTAAAATACAAATTTGTTTTCATTATGCACTGTTTACAGTGGGTAATAGTTGACACTTGCTAATACCTGAAATTGAATACATGAGGTTGAAAAGCCAGAGGATAGTAGTATTTGGTGTTAGTTGCATGCATTGTCTTGTACTTGTTGACCCTTAAGTGTTTTAGTCTTGAGAACCATTGCTGTAACTTAATTTCTACACCTCTATCCTCAACCCAGTTCACTTAACTGATTTTTCTTCATCTTTTTTCATTGTTAGAATGAAAATAAGCTTAAGTTATTTCGGCTTGCTGCTGCCAAACATCAGCACTTATATCGTCTCGCCATGACTGGTGCTGGCATTGACCGCCATCTGTTCTGCCTTTATGTTGTGTCCAAGTACCTTGCTGTAGATTCTCCTTTCCTTAAGGAAGTAAGTGACTTTTATTGATGACTTAATTATAGTAAATAATCCTTTATTTACTTAGCGTTTTGTGGTATCTGCTTACATACTTGTAGAACTCTGGTTTTCCTAAGAAAAAAGGTAAGAGTTTAGGTAGCGTTGTTTAACATCTGCTGGTAGATTACAAGTTAGTTTCATTTTGCTTTATGTATACACTTATTAATAGACCTATAGTAATGTTTTCTGTGAGCTTTGCAGTATAATACATGTTATTAAGGATTGCAAGAAAGATATAGTCAGTATTACAAAAAAAAATTGGTTGCTTGTGGCTTTTACATATTTTCAAGGCAACACAACAGAGGCTATGTGTTTTCTCTCAAGAATGTTCTTTTGGAACCGTGACAAAATAACTTTTTTTAAGTTACTGTGAGTTAAAGAAGCTGTATATTGTGTTTTTTGGTGTTTTTTTTAATGCGCAACATTAATGTCACTGTTTATTACCATGACAAATGCTTTATTACTTAAACTAGATTTTAAGGTTGGGTTTCATAAAAGTAATTACATTGCACTTGTTCATGTTTTCTGATTAATAAAAAATGTGTTCCAGCTTGCCTCCAAATTAAGCTACTCACATTTGTCTGCTTGCCCTCCTAAATGTGAGTAGTGGCTAAGTCAAGAATAAAACAACTTTCTACAGCTTCTGCAGACTTTCAAGATACATGTGTATTGTTAGAGATTTTACAAGCTTCTAACTTGATGTAGTATCTTACCGGGATTTGAATATGGCCATTAATGATCTTGTTGTTAACAAGACCTGTTATGCAGAATTTACCAGGCTATAGACCAGATTAATCTGTTTTGAAATAGCATTTCTATTGAAAGAACTCTTACTCTCTTTGAGGAATAGACATCACGACCTCATATGTTAATGGTTTGCATATCAGGACAAGTTTAGCTGTTTCTTTTAACCTTCTTAATTTTTCATTCCATTGAAATGGGAACTGGAGTTATCCTTAACATTGCTTTATTGAGTACTTGCTAACTTATCTTGACTAGTTTTTGAGAAAGTTGCATGTTCTTAAACAGTGTGTTATACTTGTTTGCATCTCTTTCATATCTAATAAAGGTTTTGTCAGAGCCTTGGAGGCTGTCAACGAGTCAGACACCACAGCAACATATTGATCTAAAGAAGAACCCTGAGATGTTATCCTGTGGCGGAGGATTTGGACCGGTATGTTTGCTAAATACAAGTACCCCTTTAAAAACAGTTTTATTTTGAATATGCCAGTCTGAAAATTTCAGATCTGTAATACCCTAATGTTGCACCTCAAAGGTGCAACACACGCTTTTAAATGCATGTGTTTAATGCTTTCCCATGATGTGGATGTGCTCAGAAAAATCTGCATCACCTTTTCTCATATTCCACTACAAGAATGGATTATTCTTGTAGTGGAATAATTATAGAATAATATTATAGAAGGAAATACACAGTTATCAAATATGGTACAGGGCTCCATGGCAGAGGGATCTGATAAAGTGGGGGCTTTTATCACATTGCCTATGCCCAGAGCTTCTGTACATCAGGGTATTATTACAGTGACAAATGCCCTATTACTTAAACTAGATTTTAAGGTTGGGATTTGTAAAAGTAGTTATACTTGACTTGTTCTTTATATTTCCTGATTAAATAAAAAATATGTTCACGCTTTCCTCCAAATTAAGCTACTCACATTTGTCTGCTTGCCCTCCTAAGTGTGAATAGTGGTTAAGTCAAGAATAAAACCACGTTCTACAGCTTCTGTAGACTTTCAAGAAACTAGTGTATTGTTAGAGATTTTACAAGCTTCTGACTTGCTGTAGTATTTTACCAGGTTTTGAACATGGCCATTGATGATGATCTTGTTGTTAACAAGATCTGTTAAGCAGACTTTATGGAACTATAGACTAGATTAATCTGTTTTCAAAAAGCATTTCTATTGAAAGAACAATGAGAGGGATCACGGGACTGTTCTTTGCCACACAGAAATTAGGATGACAAGTACAGTGTATTTTGGCTGGTTTGTCAAGCCAAATTTTTTTTTTTTTAAATTTATTCATGTTTCTGATACAGCTTTCAGTAGTTCTTGAAGTTGGAATGAGCTTAAATTGCCGTATCAAGGAAGCCTAGCTATTGCAATGCTGCTCATTCATGAGAAACTGGCTTGCTCCAGCAGATTATAAAGTCAGTATTTAGAATCCCCAAAAAGGTGTGGTCTGGCAATAAAATAGGGTTTTGGCTGCAGGAATTTCTAACACTTTTTTCCTTTTGTTTTTGCTAATGCTACATTAACTGCTCCCTTCTTAATATTTCTTCATTCCTTTAATTTCCTTCCTTCAGTTGTCTGCCTTTCCAAATAACCCTGCTTACATTTCCCTTCATCATATCTTGTATCGTTACAAAAACTGTGCTTTGGTTTGCTGAAGTAGCCCAGAAATTCAGTACATCAGGCTTTCCATGTATGTGTGGTGTTTGTTGGTTTTGGTTTGTGTTTTTGTTTGTTTGTTTGTTTGTTTTTTTAAGCATTCTCTAGAATATAGCCGTGAAACACTAATGGAGAGAAGACTATCAGGCTGCTTAGCAGCAGTGGCAGCAAAGAGCTTGAAGCTTGTGATCCTCTGAGTTAGGAAAGAGAGGAAAGAGGGTGGCAGCTGGATAGTCTGTGGTTACTAGGCATGCTTTAAATATAACATCAGACTGAAACTTGGGGCAGTTAATGCTGCTAATGTCGAAATCGGACCAGAGCTCTGCTCATGATATGGGTGTTCAGAATCATATCTTTGCTGTAGAGTTAGATGACTTTGTCTTTGGGCAAGTTTTCATAATACAAGGCTTATATACTCCATATTTACGTACTGTATTTGTGATCACTGCAGAGTGATCACATGAAACAGGATGTTTAGGTATACAACTGAACTACTTTATTCCTTTCTATTTAAGCACTGAAGCTGTACAGCTGCTTAGGACCACAACTTGATAGCAGAAGGTCTTTGAACAAGTATTCTATTTCAAAATACTAAACCTGGGAAATATTACAGATGTATATTCAGAAAATGTTAATTCCATGCACTAGATGAGACTAGAACTGTTTCCTTAAGTGGAATCAATCTTCAGAAATGATGCATTAAATGAGGAAGCTTAATTTTTGCTTGAGGAGAAATTGCAACTGATTTTAAAAACTGCACAGTAAGAACTGTGTAATTATGTATAAGCTAATTTAGGAAGGAAGGAAAAAGAAAAAGTTTAGAGTTTGTTTTTCTCTTCTTTCTTCCCCTAGGTGGCTGATGATGGTTATGGTGTTTCTTACATTATCTTGGATGAAAATTCCATCCATTTCCATGTCTCCAGCAAAATATCTTGTTCTGAGACGGTAAGGATCAGTCCTTTCCTATGGTTTAACAAATCTGTTCTGATATCTGCTTATAAAACTGTTCTACTCCTTTTCTAAAAAAATTTAGTAGGACTTGCAACATATACAGTTATAATGTGTTTTTTCTTTCTCAACATATGCTATTTTGTGGGTTTGGTTTTTTGTCTCCACTTCTATAAATTTAATAGCTTTATGAACCAAGTAAACCATATTCTATTTCACTTACGCTTTTGAGCATAAAAGAAAGCATGTGGCCCAAGGTCATCTTTACACATGTGTAGTTCCCTGGACTCATGTAAAATGACTCATATCTGTCCTGTAAACAGTAAGATGGGTGTCTCCTGTTTTTTGTTATTACAGTTTTGCTTTGATTTATCTCTGGCTGCAGTTGTAAAGAGAGTAAAATGTATGCTCTCTATTCTTTAAAGCTTCCTGGTTTAAATAATGCTGAAAGAAGCTAGCCCATAAGTTGTAATCTGTGCTTGAGAAACATAATTAATCAAAAATTTTTTAGAATAACACCCATTATTAGAATGTAGTAGATGTCATCTATTCAGTATCCTGCTGTTGCAGAGGCCTGCTTTGAGTGAGCTTCAACTCATCCTTCCCCTTTAGATTTTTATGACTTTAATGCTGAGTTTGTTCAGGATTACATAGCTGAACTAGTTTTCCTCTTTTGACCTTAACTTGTCCGAGAGATCTTGGTGCCTTTGGTAAATCATTAAAGATTAGGAAATATAACTTTGTTTTTTCATAGTTCAAATTGTTCTTCAGTTGCCTGTTAGCTTGTACTTTAAATTTCCCTGTAGTTTTAGCTTATTAGTCAAGTCAAAGGTCCATACAGAAAAGGCAGCATTTCATGTGCATGGCCTTGATATTAGTAGGGTCTTTGTAGTAGGTCCTGTAATGTAGCTAATAATTTATATTTGTAATCTTAATTTCTTCCTTGTGCCATTCATCTGACACTTAGAATAAACAGAATAAGTTCATAGTTTGTTTATACTTAGATAATTGTGATTTTAATTTTTGATACTTTATGTAATTTTTCAATGGCAAACAATTCAGGATTCTGATAGGACTCAAATACAAAATGTTTTTCTGCTCTTTCAGTACTTCTAGGTCATTAGTCATACACTTTCTGACATTCTTTTGTTTTCTGAAAATCAGCTTTTGCAAAATCTTGTATTAAAAAACAATACCGAAACCCAGGTATTTTAAAGTAACGGAAAGCTACAGATGCACCTGATTTCAAAAGGAGATGATCTCAGTTCTGTTTGTAGGGAAGTAAATGCATAATGAAGAACTCATTAGTCAGTAATTGCATAAACCTGGATTAATTTGTATAGCATTAAAATTTTTGTGGATTAAATTCCCCATTTTATGGTAAAATACATGTCCTAATTCCGTAAGCTCCAAAATTAGAAAATATTAAAAGGTTCCTTCTTTTGCCTAAAACATAACTGTTGATTGACAGTACAAGTCTTTGGTTTTGTTTTTTGTTTGTTTTTAAAGGATTCTCATCGTTTTGGAAAAAACATCCAAAAAGCAATGATTGACATCATGGGTTTATTTAACCTTAGTAAAAACTGTACCAAGTGATTTGCCTTATTGGTGCCAAGCAACCTCCTGTTGTTGGGATGCGAACTCTTCTGAACAGTGAATGAGAGCAAGGTTTGTCAAACAGTAGCTGGCGAAGAAACTGAGTCAACATCTTGATCACCTATGAAAACCTTAGCAGTGTATCGAATTTTTTTTTTCCCCCCAGTAGTTTGGAAGAGTTTATTTCCACAAAGGATGACTTTTGAAATCTTGTATGTTTCTAGGGATGAAGTATAGTATCATTGCATGAAGTCATGTGTATTCTAACTCCTGCAGTTTTCTCTTAATTTGTATACACTTGCTCTTTTTTTTTTTTACTTAAAATTAGTCTACTTGTATTCCAGAATCAAAGGGATAAAACACACTGTCTTAAACTGAAATACTAGAAAAAGTTTGATTTGGTATGCATTAATAGCAGAATGTTCTTCAATGTATCTGCTGCTTTATGTCAACGAATGACAAAACTTGTGGCTGTTTACTATCATTGTTTTTTTGTAATTTTTTTTAAAGGTAATTTCTGTAAAACATAAAAAAAAAATCCCTGATATAACCCACCGTAACATACCAAGCTGTAGAATTTTTTTTGGTTTTGGAGAAAAAAAAAAACATTGGGTAGTGCTACATTGGGTTAGTAAAATATGTCACCTAATTAGCAGGTATCACATTTTTCTTATTACTTACAAGCATGTTTGCCACATTGTTGATTTTATTTCTGTATAAATAAATGGACCTGTGTGCTTGTTCATGTGAGTGCCTTACAAAAAGAAAGATCCTAAACCCAGGAAAAAAGCTTATGCTGGGAGTTGGTTTTACATTGTCTTAGTGGTGAAGGAGGTGAAGTAGTAGTAATGCAGATCTAGTTTTCAAATTATAAGTTAGGTTGATGTGGCATAAGACTTGAATATGTTGCCATATGGTGCAGTTAGTTTAAAGCTCTAATGAAATGCTCCCATCTTAAATGGCAAAGATCAGTCCCTATGAAATGCAGAAGTAACTTTGTTTCAGAGCTACAGATACTCATGTGTTTATTTTGGTGAATGGTATTGGTGGTCATTTGAGATAAGAGTTTCTGGGTCCTGGGGAGTGTCAATTTACTTAAATGCAACCTGTTGGATAGTCTACGAGGCAAGGCTGCCTGTAGAGGCTGATCAATTGCAGTTTGCCTGCTTTCAGCCTGGAAGGACCACTACTACATTGCCAACCATCTGCACGAGAAGGGCAAACTATTAAAGCCGTGGAAAATAGCTCCAGAATGGGAAAACCCTAGCCTTCTCAAACCCCTGCAGGGAGATGCTCTTGGTCAAGCACAGTTTCTGAAAGATACAAGGAGGGAGGGGAAAGCTATTTCACTCAAGAAGAAGCATAATGTTTCCAAGTGCAGAAATAAAATGGCTACTACAAAATGGAATGACTCTGTGCGCCATGCTTCTCTTCCCCAGGCTTTATAGGTGTGGTTACTTTTTACATCCTGCAGTGCAGTAAAGTGTACCTGTTAGCGCAACAATTTATTTTATTTTTTAAATGTAAGGTACATGGTGTTTAGTAATATAGTGAACACTGCTCCAGAGCTAAGCTGATTTTAAAAGGCCTTTGGGGTTGGTATAAAACTTCTCATTAGACTTTGGATGTTTTCTGGCCAGTATTTCTAACTTTCTATGCCTCTTCATGTTTGGGGCTTTTTTTGTTTGGTTTTTTTTTGTGTTTTTTTTTTTTTTTTTACTCTTATCTAGCTATTAGAACACCTGTATATGTATGTTTGAGGTGGGAAACCGCAAAGATCCCAGAAGCATACTTAAGCAAATGCATGCTTACATAAATGTAGGAACCCTCACAGGAATTGGCCAAAGACAGTCATTATTTGATTAGTTATAGTGTGTGGGAAAGGACACTTTGAAATAAGCTTTACTGTGGCTGGCAGGCCTGGCATTTATCAAACTACTGCAACAATTTTATAGTGATCTATTCTTTGGGAGCTGCAGAAATAATGCACTGTTTGTTTGGTTTTTTATTATTGACCACTGACCAATCTGTGCTTAAAATAACAGTAGGGCATATAAGCTTGTAGGATTTTATTAAAAAAAAAAAAAAAGTTTAGATTTGACTCTCAGGTTTTAAATGTTTCAAGTCTAATTGTAGTTAGTGCAGTTATCAATGCAATTTTACATTCTTAGAGAGTAAGTATAATTGGCACAGAAAGCTGTTTTTTATTGTAAATGTTTTAAACATTTTGCGGTGTTAAATATATCTTTTTTTTTTTTTTTTAATTTGGATAGATATAATTCCTAAACAGATAAGATTTTATTTCATTTTCTTTAAAATGTCAACAGCATGTAAATAAAATATGCTTTTTGGATGTAAATCTTAGAAATCCAGAGCTAATGTAGGTTATTAATAAATAATTAATTTAAATCTTGATGTTTGATATCGTGTACATACAGTAAAACTGCTTGCTCTTTTTGCTCAAAAGCCATAGGAATGTAACTGAAAATACCTAGATTTGAATGAACCTTCTAGTACAGTGTACTTTATAATAAAGTAAAATGTTCATATTCCAGAAAAACTATTAATTTGTTACTAAAACCTTGAATCACTTATTCTCAATTAGTGATTTAAGAGTTCAAAGTTAGGGTTGAGTAGGTGGTAAAAGTCAGGTTGGATGATAATAAATTGACCTGTTTATTAAATAGCAGTGTGGAATTGGTGGAATACCTCGAATGTGCATTTTCCAAATTTCTTTTTTCAGCTATTTCCTGCCAGAAATTAGGAGAGCATTAAGGGCATTTAGAGGCTACCATTGCCCAGGATTAACACCATTCCAAACTAAACATTGTTTTAAGGGTTGGGTTTTTTGAGGGACTAAGGAAGCGTGTGCCTGACCTTGAAAATCATGGTTCTAATTCAGCCTTCGTACCAATTGTTTTCTTGTATAAAATATATTAATTTAAGCTAGGTTTTTTTAATCTTGTTCAATTACTCTACAATCTATGGTTGGTTTACATCCAACACTGTCTCTATTTTCTACCCTTTTGTGTGACTTCAAAAAACAAAATAAAATTTCACAATTATCACTACTTAGTACAATGTTTATTATCTTTTGTATCTTCTTCCCAGCTCCCTTGCTGCTGTTTCTGGACTTGTGAAATCATTGCTATTAAATCTGGTTAGGAATGGTAGTAGCAGACCATTCGGTTTATTTTAGCAGTGATTTATACATGTCATGCTAGTTAATAGGGAATGTGTTAATGAACAATTTTTCTTTTTCAGGTTCAGTAGAACAAAGAAAAAACATAGGTCTTATTTTAGATGAGCTTTTTTTCATGAGATCCAAATAATTTCTGGAATGTTTCTGTGAAACAGTCTGTCTGCAAGCTAGTGGATAGCACTGGTTTGATCTTTATGGTGAATAATCTATAGAATATGAATAGTAAGGCAGTGGAGAACTGGTTCAGGCACAGAAAGTTAACATTGTTAAAATGTTATTTGCTTTATCTGAAGATTCCCAGTACTTAAACTCTTTTGAAATTGCATTAAAACTGGGGACTACTTTGAGACAGTTGAAGAGGATTTTTTTTACCCTTTGAAGGTTTACGTGCTGTTTTTTCAACTGCTGTTTAATAAAAAAAAAAAATGCCACAAAACAACAACATGGAAAAACCCCACACAGAACCCACCAAATAGTTTTGTGTGATAGACCATTTTCACAATCATTTAGCTTGCTGCTTTTCTGGATGTTGCAGCCTTTGCTACATGAAAGAACACAGCGATTTCAATTTCACACTTCATCTCTTAGATACTGTTAGTCCCTGGTTGTATTTCAAACATCTCCCACCAAAGCTGGATACCGAAGTTGTAAATTGATATGTTCAATCTGAACAGAAATGCTGTATGGAAACTTTCCAGGCACAGAAAACAGTGATTTATTTTTTGGGTTTTTTCCCCCCCTTCCCTTTGCCTGTTTTTAAGGGTGGCAAGTATAAGATGCATCTTATACTCAGAAAATGTTGCTGTAGTTGTACATGATGCATGGGATTAATCAGCTCTGGCTGAGATTAATGAACTCCTATTGGAAAGTACTAGAATAAAAAATTTAGCTATTAGATGAAACTCTTAAGAGGAGAGGAAGACGCGTGGGGTTTTGTGTTTTGGTTTTGTTTTGTGTTGGTTTTGTTTTGTGTTTGTTTTGTTTTGTGTTTCCCTAACTTTCATGGCTGCTAACCTGTGGCTGGCTGGGTGGAAGTTTGTAACCAAAAGTATAAGGAAAAATTGATTCCAGTTTCTTCTTGGATTAATTGTATGGCATCTTAAGGATGAAAGGTTACTTGAAATTGTTTTAGGTGTTTTTAGTTGCTGTGTTTTTTTAACACACAAAACTTCCTAAAAATGAAGACATTAATATATAAAATTTCTGCTTTCAAGGAAACCATCTTTTATCTTAAATGGCCATAGGTAGTGGCCTGGTAGTGTTTTGTAAACTCCAAAATCTTTATGGCACCGGGGTGACAGTTCCAAGATTTACGTAGTGAGTTGTAGAAAGGGCTCCAAGAGCAGAAGCTGGAAGCCAGCTATTTCACAGAATCACAGAATGGTTGAGGTTGGAAGGGACTCCTCTGGAGGTCATCTGGTCCAACCAGATGGTTGCCCAGGACCATGTGCAGATGGCTTTTTGAGTATCCTCAAGGATGGAGACTGCACAACCTCCCTGGGCAACCTGTGCCAGTGCTTTTCAGCCACACAGTGAAAAGGTGTTTCCTGATGTTCAGAGGGAAACTCCTGTTTTTCAGTTTGTATCCATTGCCTGTTGTCCTGTTACTGGGCAGCACGGAAAAGAGCCTGGCTCCATTTTCCTTGCACCCTCCCTTCCACTTTATGTCTCCAGGCTAAACAGTCCCAGCTCTCTCAGCCTTTCCTCATAGGAAAGATGCTCCAGTCCCTTAATCACCTTCATGGCACTTTGTTGGACCCTCACCATTATGTCCATGTCTTTCTTGTACTGGGGGAGCCCAGAACTGGACACAATACTCTAGGTGTGATCTTACCAGTGCTGAATAGCACTCTTCTACATGGATTATAACAAATAATCTCTTAGTACCAGGGTCCTGGTTAATCTTTGACTCCTTCTAAATACAAACCAAACCAAAAATCCCCCCAAACACCCAACCTAATTCGCAGGCCGTGCGTGCGCCCGCTGCCGCCTCTGCGGAGTGCGAGACTCTTCCGCGCTGGCGGGCGGGGGGGACGGGACGGGGCAGGCTGGAAGCGGCCCGCTGGCGCATGCCCAACCTCCCTTAACGGTCTGGCGCGCGGTCGTCTCCCCCCTCACTGAAGGGCGGGGGCCGGAGATGGGGGAAGGTGAATTGCCTGGGGGAAGGGGCAGAGACATGCACTCTGCTGAGGGCCCGGGGTGGAGGTGGGGCCTGTCCCTTTCCCTTCTGCCCTGGAAACCAGCGTGGTGATGTGGGGTGAGGGAGGAAGGCAGCCGGAGCTTCTGGGCAGTTCTCCTGCCCTGCCCCACGGATGTCTTGGAGCTGGTAGTGGTTGATGCATATGGGTCCGAGAGACTTGAGCCTTCAGAGAGCTGCTATATCTCAGTCCAGTCAGGGGGACACAGGTAGCTTGACCCTCCCCATATCGCCTTAGTCTAAATCCAGAAATAGTAGTGATGACAGTGCAGGTGGATCTTGGCCTATGCCTTTTTAATGGTGGCCCTGTGATACTCTGGGTAGAGGTGCTTTGGTTTGCATTGTCTATAACTGGCAATAGTGACATGGAGAGTACAGATAAGGTTTGGTCTTAATGTGCTACTTACTGACGCAAACTTAAAATAGTGTAATTATTGCTGTCTAAGTGTACTACGTCAAATTTGATTGATTTTTTTAAACTACTAAAGCCAAGTAGCAAAATTCTGATTTAAGTCTGGATGCTGTTAATACGTTTAAAAGTTACAAAGAATGTGTTCTTATGGTAAAAGCAGGTTGTTTGTGTTGGCATGGTGGCCTGTATTTTCTGAAAGCTAGATTCAGAACCCCAACAACCTCTTCCAGCGTTATGTTTTTAAGTTTCACAGTTACATGTTAATTGGGTTAATCTTCAGTATTATATGTACATGTTGTTTGGTTAAGACTATTTCATTCACTTCTAGATAGAAAAACTATTCAGAAGAATACTGAAATAGAAAATTCAATTATCTTCAACGGAAAAAATAAGTATGAACCAGTTGACAGTCTATCCATGAGTATGGAGAATCAGATATTGCTTGATATAAGATCAGTAATAGACAGTGGACTTGTAACTGAAATATTTAGTCAAAATAGTCCTGTTAGTTCTGAAAACTTTAATCTGGAAACTGCAGTAATTAATAATCCCATTGAAGAAGGATTGCTATCTAGTCAAGACAATAATTTATGCACTGTAAATGTGGGAGAGACTTTGTTAGATCACTTCAAGTATCCAGTTACCATTGAAAATCAAAATACAATAGTAAAAGTTGAAGTACATCCACATGGAAACAACAGCTGTGATGACGAAGATCTTGAAAAATACAAGGAATTAAATCTTCCAGAAGCTGAACATATGCATTCACCTTATCTGCCTTCAAATGGTGTCCACTTTCTTTCTTCTGTAGCAATGCAGCATAAAAATTGCAGTGTTCCAACT